GGACACAGGGAAAGTGTTCTGGCTCTGAGCTGCACATCAAAGGACCCTTCAGAAGCAAATTTAAGAGCCTGCAAATGCAGTAACACCTTTCTACTTCTTTATTCTGTGGCTTCACAGGACACCTTCCTACTTAAATAGTCTATCCCGTAGGGAAAAAACCCATCTCAAGGTGGTAGCAATAGTTCAGTGCTGGAAAATCTATGACAAAGATGGGGAGTGGATCTCTCTTTCCAATAGGATTAGAAGACAGCCTCAAGTTGCACCAGAGGAGGTTAAGATTGGATATTAGGAAAAATTTCTACACTGAAAGGGTGACCAAGTATGGGAACAGGCTGCCCAGGGCAGTGGTGGAGTCACTGTCCCTGGAAGTATTCAAGAAATATGCAGATATGGCACTTGAGGACATGGTTAGTGGTGGCCTTGGCAATGGTTGGACTCGATCTCAGAGGGTTTTTCCAACCTTAACAATTCTGTGATTCTAATATTAAAGTAAGGTACAACAATAAAGTAATTTTGTATAGTTAGTAATAACTTTGTACTGAAATGTGATTAGTTTCGTCTCCTGGCCCCCAGGAGTCTGATAGGCAGAAGGACCTATAACCTCAGACCTCATATGGATCCTCCCCATCCCTACAGACTGCAGCCAGACCATTATCTATCCACCTCTGTTCCGATATTGTGACCAGCCTGAGAGACTGACACACTGTCCTGGTTTCTGGTCTTCTCCTTGAATCCTTGATAATTACCTATATGGACCTAATTTTTATTTGAAGACTGTCATTAAAAAAATCTATTTCATAAACTTGTGTTTGCAGTTTTGGAGCCACATTAGCACCAGTAAAAGGATGCAAGAGCTTGTGAAAGGAGGCAAGAGCTTTCCCAGTGCAAGGTTCCCACTGCAGTTACCTTACTGGCACTGGGGTATGGTTTGAGATAGGAGCACTGGGATACCAGGGCGATATCCTGGGTTATCTAAAATAGCACTGGAGACTTAGATGCAGGCAACAGTCCTGCCTTGGAGCCAAGTGTCTCCCTGTGAGCTAAGCACCTTCAGCTTGATTTTAGTTAGTGGGGAGAAATATGCATACATTTAGGGATTAATCTGATTTTAACATGGTTAAAACTGTCTCAGTGACTCACATGTCAGAAGTGCTTTTTTTCTCCCTACTGATGGAAAGATGATTTGGTAGATGCAAATGGCTATAGAAAAGACATTTGTATCTGGCTGGATAAATCCCATCCAGGGTTGCACAACAACTACTGCTACTGCTCCAGCTACATGGGGTGAGAGCCCTAAGCAGTCAGTCAGATGCTGTAAAGGGCATTTTCCCTTTCCAAACTGCTGACAGCAATGTGGGCTGAACATACTGCAGCTGAAGAAAATAGGTCCTTCCCTGCTTTTTCACAAGACTAAAGGAATCAAAATCCAGACCCCAAATGCATCCTGGCATCATTTCAGACATTCATCAGAGATGGAACATAGGGGAATGGCTTTAAAGTGGCAGAGGACAGGGTTAGATGAGATATTAGAAAGAAATTCTTGGCTATGAAGGTGGTGAGGCACTGGCACAGGTTGCCTAGAGAAGCTGTGGCTGCCTCATCCCTGGAAGTGTTCCAGGCCAGGTTGGACGGGGCTTGGAGCAACCTGGTCTAGTGGAAGGTGTCCCTGTCTATTGCAGGGGGTTGGATTAGATGATCTTTAAGGTCCCTTCCAACCCAAACCATTCTGTGATTCTATGTCCAAGATCACCTCCTGCTGCAGTCCATGGGACAGGTGGATACCTGAAGCCTGTGACTCATCTGAGCTGGAACTATCCCACTGCTGGTGGCCACACAGTGATTCCTTCTCCTGGAAGCCAAGCCAGGGACTGAGGCCCCTTCATCTGTTGCTGGCCTGAACTGTACATGAACTGTGTCTCCAGCTGAACACACTCTGTCCTAATCACCACATCCAGAGCTACCCCCACAGACCTCCTTTGCAGAAACTCTCTGAAATATAATTGGGCCATTTACTGAATTTTCCCTGGGCAGGCAAAGCACTGAAGGAGGCATTTGCTTTCTGAGTCCCTTATACTCTAATTATTGTTCAGGTTACCGTTGCATCAGAGCCTAACAAAAGATGCTTAAGAAAACAAGGAATTAGGCATCAATTGTGGTTCATGAGGTCATGGAAGAAATGTAGCACACAACAAAATAATACATAGGCCATCTCTACTGTCTGTTCTTTAGCACTTGCCCCCCATGGACATCCATTAATGCTAATGTTTGTGACTAAATAGAACTATAAGTCAATTACATCTCCTGTTAGTGTTAATTCACAGTCAATCTATATATTTGTCTGCAGAACTGCTCAGAATTGGGATAGAATAGATTTTTCTTTATAAGTGAATGGGTTTATTTTTTTTAAGTAGAAATACTTGGGAGTTCTGCTATTGAATATCCCTGAGTTATTAAAGGAATATGGTCAGTTTTACACAAATTAGTCTTGTCTGGTATTAGCATGACAGTAGCTGGTGAAATGTCTGAGCCTTTCTCTTCATGTCCTTCCTATTCATGAAACAGCCTCAAGCTGAGCCAGGGGAGGTTTGGGTTGGACATCAGGAAGAATTTCTTCACTGAAAGGGTTGTCAGGCATTGGAATGTGCTGCCCAGGGAGGTGGTGAAGTCACCATCCCTGGTGGTGTTCCAAGAAATGACTGGACATGGCACTTAGTGCTCTGGTCTAGTTGACAAGGTGGTGATTTGTCACAGGTTGGACCAACCTAATGATTCTATGATTCTGTGCAGTGCTCCCTGCCACAGAACAAGCACCAGGTCCAGCCCTGGATTCCCAGCCTATTACTGGGCAGGCCAATTATGGACAAGCCACCAGGTTTCTGAACCAGCTTAGAGAGGCCAAAACATGTCCTTGTTGATGTTAACCAGCACTTCCCAGAAAGATGTCCTTCAGCAAAATGCAAATTAGCAAATTCTGGTGAAAAATCATCACAGAATCACACAATATTTGGAGCTGGAAGGGACCTACAAGGATCATTGAGTCCAACTCCTGACCCTACACAGGACATCCCCAAGAATCACACGATGTGCCTGAGAGCATTGTCCAAATGCCCCTTGAACTCTGTCAGGCTTGGTGCCACTTGCTTCTCCCCTGAAGAGCTTCCCTCCTAGCCTAGAGAATGCTTTTGCCTTGCTCTTGTTATTTCAGTTTGTGAGGCATTTCTGCCTGGTCAAATTCCCACAAAGAGTGGGCAGATGCTGGATTCTGAGCAATATCACACATGCAATCCTCATGTGCTTCCACTGCTTGGAAAGCTCACATTTCTGCTGCATTTCTCAGACTACTCTGGTATTATTGTGGATCAAAATAGCCCCCTTGTCAGCTCTCTGAATACAGAAGATTAATTTTGCTGAGTACAAGTGCTCTTGCTGTTTCACCAGCATAATTCACCCTGAGAACTTCAGGCTGGGCTTGGAAGTGCATTCTTGAATCATGTTATCTTGTGGCAGGTTTCTTTTTAAAATTTCTGATTGAATTTAGTGGAGGTGAAAGTCACTAGTTGAATGGTTCCAGAAGCAGATGCTCTCTGGCTAATGAGAAAATCATTTTGCAAAGCAAACTTCCCCTGTGCTGCCCAGCTACAGGACAGGCTGGCAATGGCTTTGAGGTCCATGCTCCCTGTACTTGCTGTATTTGCCCACAGGGTACAGGATCTCTGTCCTAGGTGCTGCTTTGCTTCCCTTAATGAATAATCCCTGCAGGATGGAGCTGTGCATACATGTCTCTGTCCATTCACCCTCCTGCAAATACAGAGACACATTTAAGATGGGGCTGGATGGTGTTAGGAGCAACCTGGTCTAGTGGAAGGTGTCCCTGCCCATGGCAGGTGGTTTGGACTAGATGGTCTTTAAGGTCCCTTCCAACCCAAATCATTCTGTGATTCTAAGAAAACCCTTGCCCAGTGGAGGATGGAGGCCTTCATCCTGAAGCAGAGGATGCAGGAGACCCCAGTCCTTACCAGGCTCTCAGAGGAAGGGTTGAAGGTTGGATGCTATGAAAGACAAGGTGGTGTTTGACTTTCAGAGTTTGTTTGATAACAGGACAGAAATCCTGTGGGTGGAATATGTACCAAGAGCCCAAGTTCTTAGTGAGTTTTACCACATCTGGGTGTTTATGTCAGCTCTCTGATACCAAATACTGCTCAAACTCTTTACAACTGAGCTTGAAAAGTCCATCATCCTCTGTCACTGACACATTGCAATAAGATGTGACTGGTTCTGGCACCCACAGACCAACTTGCGATGTTAGCAAAGGACATTTGGATCAGAATCAAGACCTCACCTGAGAAAGGTTTCTAAGATTTAAATTAAATACTCATGGGTTAAATTTCCCTCCAATTCTTTTGCTTTGACAGTCCTGGGCAAACTTTCCTGTCTCTTTTCAGTATGTAACCTGGTGGTAGAGCAGCACTGCCTGGCCCAGGGCTGAGGGGACACCAGGCAGGAGGAGGACACAGACCATGCTGTGCTGAGACCTCTCTGTAGGGACATGGGACCTCTCCTCCCATCACTCCCACCATTGCACACCTCAGCCACAGCCACCATCCCAAACTGTCTCTTAGCTCAATGGACTTGATGAAAGTCACCCTTTTCCCTTGCCTTCCTTTCTGTGTCCCTTGTAGAGCTCCTATCTCTCACTGCAGGGAGGGAATGAGGGAGAGGGGAGAGCTTCAGTAGAGTCCCATCTGCTTGAGAAGGTGATAACTTCCAGCACCACTATTTCCTCACCCCAGGAGTCCTGGACACCCACCACCTGGATCAATCTGCATTTGCAGGCAGTGTTTTTTCCCTGGGCATCCTGCCCTGGCCTTGCAGAGAAGCTTTAGCAACCCCAGGAAGCTGTGGGAAGGGTGGATGTTCATTCCTGAAGCGAAGGTGCTCCTCTTCCATTGTCTCCCTGCCCTCATAGGCAGTGTGACCATCTGGGAGCCTGTTCATTTTACCTGGCAACTGTCTGTTTCTCCTTGCTTCATCTCAGCACACACCATGTTCTCCCCGAGCTGTGGGATCTGCTCCAAGCACTGCTTCTTGCTGATGAGCTTCATCGGCACTTTCTGCAGCACGTGGGATGCAGTCACTGAAGCCCCTGCAATGAGCAGAATGATGAGTAAACCTGCAGAGCAGCTGGAGAATTGCCCTTGGGACTGATCTCAGCTGTATTTTTAAAGCATCTCAGGGCAAGGGAGTCTCAGGTCACCTCAGTAGGGTTTTGGGACCACAGAGGCTTACAAGTGCTATCCAAATGTTAGCAGCAATGAATTTGTACTCCTGACTTTATCACAGAATCCCAGAATGTTTTGGGTTGGAAGGGACCTTAAAACCCACCTAATTCCAACCCCCCTGCCATGAGGGACACTGGACCAGGTTGCTCCAAGCCCCATCCACCCTGACCTAGAATGTTTCCAGGGATGACAGACTGGGATGTGGGTAGGTAGATAGAAAGGAGGGGGAAGTGTCATTGGGCAAAGCTGAAATTCTGGGGACTGTAAAATCCTTTCTTTGTGTAGGACTCTGGGATGTGGTAGAGCTGGAAGATCCCCAAAGGTATGGCTTATCCTGATGATGGTCTTGGTGATGACCTGAGATGAGCTGCACTGCACACCTTGTGCTTCTCGCTTTTGTTTTGGGGGAACTCAGTTTGAGGGACCCTTCATGGGGTGCTGTGTGAGCTCTGTGGAGGAGAGTCTGTGATAATTTGCACACTAGGATAGAGCTTGTTTTAATTTGGGTGCCAAAAAACAGGTCCAAAATTTGGGCTCCTGCAGAGAAAAGGCATCTCTAAGGTTTCAGCTTGAATGTACACACTTATAGCACCTGGGACCTTGTTCTGGTGGTCAGCAGGTGACTAGTTCTTGCACTGAACAGAGAACTGGTGGATATGCAGTGGCTATAAGGGTATGGAAGTGTTAACCAGGAAGGTAGGGAGTGGAAGTTTGTGTGGAGAATCCCTCATGAAAGAACATCTACTTTAAATGGATAAAACCAGTCTCCATTAGCAAATAGATCTCTTGACAGTACCTCACCTGCACTTGTGTTTCCCCAGCCAGCAGCCCAGCAGTCCTGCCACGCATTGATGTTATACGTGAAGGGCAAGCAGATGGGGATTTTCTCCCCACTGAACTTGATGGGAGAGTTGAGCAGGATCAGAGCAATATCATTTTGCATGCTCGTTCTGCTGAAGTTTTCGTGGAGGATCAAGCTGTCTGGCTTATGTTCTTCCAGCTGGAGGCTGAGGTCAATTCCTCCCACTACAACTGTGAGATCTGGTGGCCTTAAGAAACAAAGTAGAAGCAGTGGAGACATAGTAAACATGAAGGATTTGGGTTATAAAGGTTGATGCCTCCTCCCTCCAAGCAGGACAGGGTGATGCTTAGCAAATGGCATAGGCAGGTTAGCTTTAAATATCACAGAAATCCACCTTCACTGTTAGACAAAGCTAATTTCCATGGGAGAGAGGTGCAGAGGCAGAACATGAATGCAACCAGGTTATAAATAGTCTGCATAACAGATGGAGTAGGCTGGATCTTTTGGATCACTGTGCCCTGGGCTGGCTGCTCAGACCACAGTGCCCCCAGACAGCTGCTCCAGGCTGTGATGCCACAGGTTATTTGTCACGAGCAGTCCTGGCTCTCAGACCTGCCGGATTTTGGAGGGGGCTCACAGAGAGCAGGACCCTGCCCCTGGGCATTGTATGGAGTTGATTTATCCAGAAACTGCTGTTTGAAAAATCAGTCTCCATGAGGTTTGCTATGTGAAAGCAAAGGCAATTTGGGGACTGGAATAAGCTGGAATGGAATACATCACTTTTTAGAAGCTACTGCAACATGTGTAGATGTAGAGGAAATGCTTGGGACCATAAGAACAGCATCACAGGCACTTTACAAGGCTGTTCAGACTATCTCTCAAAGTAGTCCTCTTCTGATTCTCCTGGTTATGCAGATTTTTGCACATTTCTGTGTTCAAAAATGGGCTTGTATTCCCCAAAAGAGAAAATTCCTGTTTTCAGGGCTCATATATTGCACTTGACCTCAAGGATATGCATATCCTTCACCCACAAGGAGGAATGTTACCACCCCATTGTGCTTGGGCTGTCCACCCTTCCCTGGAGTACTCACAGCTCTTCCTCAAAGCAATGGGCAGCAGTTAAAATCCACGATGCACTGATGATGGTGCCTCCACAGATATGTTTTCCATGGCTCTGGACGCTCACGTGCCACGGGAGCTCCCCAGCCTTGGCAAATCTCCCTGCTGTGATACTCTTGCCAGTGTTCCAGAAGGACTTGTAAGATGGTTGGAGGCCACACTCTGGGTGCAAAATGAGACATATTGGACACGTACAGCAGTGCCACTGCCTGTGCTACTGAACTACAGGGGCAGGACATCAGCTAGAGCACTGGTCTATAAATATTAATAGAATCATAGAATCATGGAATGGTTTGGGTTGGGAGTGATGTTAAAAATCATGTTTCCAACCCCTTGCTATGGTCAGGGACACCTTCCACTAGACCAGGTTGCCCCTAGCCTGATACAACCTGGCCTGGGACACTCCCAGGGATGGAGCAGCCACAGCTTCTCTGGGCAACCTGTGCCAGTGCCTCACCACCCTCACAGAGAATAATGCCTTCCCATTATCCCATTATCCCATCTCTCCCTGCCCTCTGGAAGTGGGAAGACATTCCCCCTTGTCCTGTCCCTCCAGGCCCTTGTTTCAAATCCCTCCCCAGCTCTCTTTAGGCACTGGAAGGGGCTCTGAGATCTCCCTGGAGCTTCTCTTCTCCAGGCTGAACACCCCCAGCTCTCCCAGCCTGGCTCCATGGCAGAGGTACTTTAGCCCTCAGAGCATCTCCATGGCCTCCTCTGGACTCAGTCCAGCAGCTCCATGTCCTTCTGATGTCAGGGCCCCAGACCTGGATGCAGCACTGCAGGTGCTATTTGGTCTCTACCAAAGCCTCTGACATCTCTGTCACCTTCCCAAACCTGCACTCTGCCAAGCACTGCCCAGGCAGTTTGGAGGTGAGGAGGACCATAGACCATTTTCCATAGACAGCCTGGATCAAATCCTTGCTTAAGGACTGGAAGGTTCAGCATCAGGCTGTAGCACAAGCCACACATATATACAACCAGGCACAAGGAATAAGCCTGTGCCTGCTTCACTTGCCAACGTGTATATCCTGCAGGGCCACCAACAGCTCCACTCTGCTGGTCACTTCTGGACATAAAATATTGAGAAAATGCACCTGCATTGGTGCTGCTGATCAGAGAAGCTAAACAGAAGAGAGTAAGGAGCAGCATTTCAATCTGTCTTGGACTAACACTCTTCCACAACAATCAGAACAGCAAAGTCCCTGCAAACACCTCAGGGCACTGTCTGCATTCCATGTCAACACAGCTCTCTGCCATGGCAACCAGGGGTGACATCACAGCATCCGCTTGTTTCTGTCCACAGGGTGATTGGATGATGTTCTTCCTAAGGTGAAAGGGTGTGATCTTCACTGAGGGAAAGCTAAGTGATTTCCAAAAGGCTTGTGATTTCATTTAGCTCTGAGAGGAACAGGGCAGCAGGGAAATTCTTGTCTGTATCCTGAACTAACCACAAAGGATATTACAATAGTGGATTCCATCATAGGATCGTAGAATTTAAGGGTTGGAATGGACTGTACAGATCATCTAATCCCAACCCCCCCTGCCCTGGGCAGGGACTCACTAGATCAGGTTGCACAAGGCTTCATCCAGCCTGGTCTTGAACACCGCCAGGGTTGGGGCAGCTACCATGTCCCTGGGCAACCTGTTCTAGTGTCTCACCACCCTTATAGTAAAAAACTTATTTCTAATATCTAACATAAACTTCCCTTCCTTCAGTTTGAACCCATTACCCCTTGTCCTGTCACTGCAGCTCCTAACAAAGGGTCCCTCTCCAGCTCCCTTGTAGGCCTGGATGGGTGCTGTAGCTCTTTCAGGGTCTTGAATCATGTTCTTCTCTCTGAAGACCTTAGAAGCTGGTCCTGCATCAGATTTCATCTTCAACTCTGAGAATTGCTGCAGGCTGACCAATTTTTAATTAATTTTTTCTTCATTCAGACTGTGCCCTGGGTGTTTACTTTCGTGTACTTAAACAAGACCATGACAGTTGCCCCGTCCTTGGAAATGGTTCAAGACCAGATTGGATGGAACTTGGAGAAACCTGGTCTAGTGGAAGGTGTCCCTGCCCACAGCAGGGGGCTGGATGAGCTTCATGGTCCCTTCCAACCCAAACCACTCCGTGATTCCATGTTTGAAGAAGAAAGAAGCATCTCTCTTCCAGGGCAAATTTCAAACAGTGCCAAACCAAAGAGATAGTAGCAAAGATGTTGAGGCAGCCACTCCCCCTTCTTCCCTGTGGGAAGGATTGCTTACAGGACCAAATCCAGCCTAAAAAATTAATCCATTAATGAGGCTGAATCATTAGCAGTTCACCTTCACTGATTATATCCCTGATAGTCTTTGTACCTTTAGCAGCAGCTACAGGGGGGTCAAGGCCAAATGCTCCCCCTACAGTAACTCCATAAATAATTCCCTGGTGGCATAGTATTTTGGTGTGTGCAAATTTTAGCATCAATAGACCCATCTATGCTGATTTCTACACCAACACATTATTTCCATCAGGACGGGACTGAAAAAACACCGAGTCAGACTTGAGCTTATCTGTATTAAGAACAGAATGGTGCTTCTTCCAAAGACTTTCCAGCTTATTTCAAAACAATAACTATAGCACAGAGTAGGAGGGGAGGGAGGGGAAAGGAAGGGAACCAAGAAGCATTTTATGAGCTCCAAAATATGTATATGAGATGTTTTTCCTCTGAGCAAATCAGGAGTTATGCAACTGACGTCTGACTTACACAGAGGTTAATGCACAGGATGAAAGTAAGACTTTATTTTCCTCCCTTCTTTTCTTCTATGCCACCTCATGCCAAGGAAATTAGACAAAAGTGATGGTTTCCTTGGCAGTGAGCACTGGAACAACTCCGTGGCACGACACTTTAAGGATAGGATCAGTTACCACAGCAACCTGGAAATGTTGAGTGTGATGTGGGCACGTTTTGGGGCATCTCCAGAAAGTGCCTAACACAGCACTCCTGCCAGAATTAGCTCCTGTAAGCTTTCCCCAGGTATAAATCTGCTAAAAGGACTGATTTCCTCTGGATTTTGAGACCAGAATGAACTCAACATCAGCTGAAGAGGAAAGGATGCTGATTTCTCTGGCACGACTTCGGATGAAGCAGACAGGACTTCAACAGTGGATTTACAAGCCCAAGCACTGACTATCTGATGCACATTTTCAGTCCCTCCAAGCTTGGAGAGCAGTCTGGTCTGCTGGGTAGCTACAGGAGATGTTCAAGGACCTGGTTTTGGCCTCTCTGAGCCTAAAACCAGAGCTGGTAAGCAGGAAACTTCAACATATGGAAAGGAGTGTCATGGAGAGCTATCCAGATGGAAATGCTGTGGATTTGTGTCTCTGATCCCAACCATCTGGCCCTCAAAAATGGGTTTATGAACTCTGCTGCCCAGAATAGACAGATCAAGGTGAGTACTGAAAGCTTTCCTTGAAGAAAGCACATCTGCAAGAGGACACACCAGTGACTCATGTTCTTCAAACTCAATGATCAAGACAGCCTCCAAAATAGGGAACACATGACCACCTCAAGTTCACCCTTCCCACTGGGGAGTATTACAAGCAGCAAGTTGGATGGTTGGGACAAACCCATCCCCAGCTCTCCTACTGAAGCTGTTTGCCCTAGGATATTCCACACCAGCACATCTGCAAGAGGACACACCAGTGACTCATGTTCTTCAAACTCAATGATCAAGACAGCCTCCAAAATAGGGAACACATGACCACCTCAAGTTCACCCTTCCCACTGGGGAGTATTACAAGCAGCAAGTTGGATGGTTGGGACAAACCCATCCCCAGCTCTCCTACTGAAGCTGTTTGCCCTAGGATATTCCACACCGAATCAAATCATAGAATATCCTGAGCTGGAAGGGACCCACAAAGATCATTGAGTGCAACTCCTGGCCCTGCACAAGACAGCCCCAACAATCCCACCCTATGCCTGAGAGCATTGTCCAAATGCTCCTTGAGCTCTGTCAAGCTTGGTGCTGTGAAACTTTAATATAACCCCAAAACTTATTTTACCTCTTTCTCCTTTATTTTGAGTACACAAATCAGGACAGAGACTGCTTGCCATCATGTTTGCACAGCACTTGTCATGAGCCTGGTCTTGGTGAGGCCTCCACAAGCTACTGAAGTACAAATAATTAATCATAGGAATAATCATGTTACAGTGTGAGCAATACCAATTCTAGTCCTCTGTACTGTCATGCATGATAATACAGATTTGAAAGCCCTGGCGTTTAATTAGCAGGCTGCAGCCTTTTATTATTTGATATTATTTTGATATTGATATTATTTTTAGATCTACCCAGATATATGCTTAGAACACACCACAGACAATATTTTTCTTTTCTTTTTCTGTAATTTATTGTAGTGCAGGAAATAAAATTGATTTTGTGTTTATACACTTTTTGGAACTGTCAAGAAGAAGCATCACATTACTATTTTTACTTTTTCTTCCTCAAATGATTTCAGGAAATAGGCACTATAGGTGATACTAGATGTTGCTGTGAAAGTGGAATTGTGAGAGAATTACTGATCTTATCAATTCACCATCCTCAAAGACATCAAATTACAGCATTGTGATAGTTTAAGAGCCCAACCACATCTCCAGAAGTCAAGACTCTCACATCATGAGCAAATTCACCCACCTAAGAAAATCAGCATGACTGAAGCCATTAGCTATGCAAAGCAGTTTTGGGTGCAACCATCTCCTAATTCATCGTTTCAACAGCATTTTGAGACAAATTTGTAGAAGTCTGAATCTCCTTCCATCTCTCCAGATTGCAAGTTGGCCAATTTCTGCCTCTAGTTTGGCTTTCAATGTTGATGAATGGGAAACTCCTTCGATTCCAGAAAGCCTCCCCAGGTTCCCAAATCTCTATGCATTGATGCTGTGGTGTGCTGGAACATCTACCAGGGTTGTCTGCCTTTTTCCAAACTCTCTACAACAAAGTGGAGGTGGTGAAGTTAGCACAGGTTATTTCTTGATGCCTATGGGGCAGGAAACCCCTGTTCCCCCGAGGCCACAGTATCCTCCAGGATTCTTGCTGAGGTACTGCTGATGGTAATCTTCGGCGTAATAAAACTCCGGAGCCTCACGGATTTCTGTTGTGATGGGACCAAACCCTCCCTCCGTCAATACCTGTCAAGAGAGATGATGGAAAGCCATTAGTGGTTTGTTGGCTCCTCTGCTGATGAATGACGTTAGGTTTCCTCCCAGAAGGAGCCACAGACATCTCTCAGCGCTTGGATCCCATTTGCAGCACATCCCTGAAAGCCCTTTATCCCTTCTCTCATGTTATTTTGCTTGGAGACACTGCAGGCACCAAAGTAGGTGTGGGTGAGATGCAGGAGTGCCCCATCCCCTTTTAATGGCTCATTTGTTTAATTTGCTATGACCACACATTTGTTGTCTTTATTAATCTGTCAGGCATGTGGTGCTATCAGTAAAAGTGGAAAACAACTGTGAGAACACACTTTGCTCACGCCTAGCTACCTGCCAAGCAGTGCCCAAGAACCTCACCTGGCAGGTGCCTCAGCTTCAAAACACACCATCTATCCTCAATGTCCTTATGCCAAGCAAAGTTTCTGGGTGAAATTTTAACCTCAAGTTTGTCATTGGGAAGTACAAGCACTTGGGCTTTTTTTCACAGACTTGCTATATCCTCCATGCTTCAGAGAGAACAGTTTTATCCTGACCAGAAAGGTATTTTTAAGGCAAATTATGGCTTGTTTTGGAAAGATTTGCCAAGACATGGATCGGGAGCCATAATCACTTTGCAGGAAAAGAAGATGGAATGTGCGTGGGGATTTTAAATTAGACTTTAACTTCTTTCTGATATCCCCTAACTGAATTTGAAACTGCTGAATGTTTTCTGACAGAGGAAATTTCTTTTTAAGATGAATTGCTGTGACATTTTCCCTGCTCCACTGTCCTTTTCTAAGGAAACTGGTAAACACCAACATTTTGGAGCCAATTCTCATCTCAGTGGGGGCATAACTTGTACTTAATGGAGTCTATGCTAACTTATTAAGCACTTTAATTGATGTCAGACTCCTTTGGCAAAGTACATTTGTGAAGTACTGGACATAGGTAGAATTGAGTGCTGTCAGCCAGACTTGACACTAAAAGCAACTCTAAGAAAGAAGGCTCAGCATTTAGGATTTCCAGACAAATATGTGTTACCTCATCATGCTAATAAATTAACCAAATAAAGGGAAGTCATCCCATAGAATCACAAAACACAGCTGGTAGACCTGTTAGTCATCAAGTCCAACTTCTTTTATGACAGAGAGAATGATAGTCACCTTGTTCGCAAGAAACATTTAACTGGTTCTGAAAAACCTTTGGAGATGGAGGTCTTCCAGTTTCCTCAAGGAGGCCATTCCAGTATTTACCACCCTGGTAGAGAGTTTCTCCTAAACCCTAGCCCAGTTAAGCCCACTACTTTCATTTAAACCCACTGTTATGGTTGTCCTCATCATGGACATGGAAGGGAAATAATTCCTCTCCTCTTTCCATTGACCCTCTACATACTCAGTGGCAGAGCAGAGAGAAAGATGACATGAAACGGAAATAATGCTTCCTGGCAGCATTAGCTCACATCTAAATAGCAGGTGATTATGTGGGACTTAGAGGTCTTCAGACTTCCTGCAATAGGGTTTCCTAACTCCTTCCTCAGTACAGCTAAGCCCTGACCACAGTCAGACAGAAGCAGCTGGACTTTGGAGACCAATAGTTTGATTTACTCCCATCATTTCACTGTCTGGAGGATACATTTTTCTGTACTCAGTGTCTAATCAGCAGTGAAGAAATAAGATTGATCCAAAAGCCGTGACTGACCTGTCTGGGAATCCCCTGGGTTTCCCCATACATCTGAATTCTCAGCACACCTCAGGAAGATGTTAACTGGTTAACTCACTGCGTTCGAACACAGTGGGGAAACACGCCAAATTTCACAGGAATTTGGCCTTATTTCCCCATGTAAAATTACCAAACAGTGTTTTTCCTCTTTGGGATAGGTTTTGTCCCAAGGGAATCAGGTTATTTACCCATCAGATGTGTGAGCAAAGAAGATAAAAAATGAGAAGGTTTGTATCACAACACGTTGGCAGCAACGAACACAAAGAGGTGTCAACACAACTACTTTTATAAAGCTCTACTTCACCGCCTTTCTAACCTTCCCAGCAAAGAAAAACACTTTTGAAATTATCTTCTCTCCAGAAAGATGGCACAAACTCTGTCATCATGGGCATTAGTCATTTAGTTGCTGCTGCAAATGCATGTGAAATTGGCTTCTCCCCCTTAACTGAGTCATGAGGATGCTGCCGGAGGGGGAGAGATTTTTCTACTGTGCAAAACAGTATTCGTTACAGATTTTTTACCTGGGACTTTTCCATCATTGGCCTCATTTTGTCAGTTCGAAAAGCCACTCTGTTCGATAAGGTACCACAAGAGGGCATAAACATCATTTATCCCTTTCACAATTGCTAACAGTCTATTAAACACTGAATAAAGCAGAAGCCCAAGACGACTCATTATGCTGCACTTTGGTCATTAGCAAAAGATCCCAGCCCTTTTGTCAGAAGCAGTGGGAACCTCAGGCTCCAGCACTCTGCCAAACTCTACCTTGGATGTTTTGATTTTGAAGAGGAAAATGTTTTCCTCACACTGTATCGATACTAAGATGAAAACAACACTGGTGAAGTTCAAGATGTGCTGGCTCTAGCAGGTGTAAATCTGGATTGATTTCCTGCCACTGAGGCAGATATCATTTGATGATAATCCTGTTCTAGAAGAATTTTTAGTCCTTGCTGTCTCAAAATTCCTGAGCCGTCTGATGGGACCCCCCACTACCATGCTGCAATTAACCCTTGGGATTTTTTACTCAGTGCAGGAAATTTTTAAGGAACTATTGGATCATGACACCAAGAAGTGTGGTGCAGTTGACACACTGGAGGGAAGGGATGTCATCCAGAGGGACCTTGACATGCTGGAGAGGTGGGCTGATGCCAGCCTCATGAAGTTCAACAAGGTGAAATGCAAGATCCTACATCTGGGTAATGGCTATCCCAGACACAGCTAAAGGCTGAGGGTAGAAGTGATTGAGACTAAACTCGGGAGAAGGACTTGGGAGTGATGGTGGATGAAAAACTCACCATGAGCTGGAGTACATGCTTACAGTCCAGAAACCAACTGAGCTCCAAAGGCATATGGGCAACAGGTCAAAGGAGGTGATTCTCCCCCTCGGCTCTGGTGAGACCCCTCCTAGAGTACTGTGCACAGTTCTGGTGTCTCCAACTTAAGAAGGACATAAAACTGTTGGAGCAAGTCTAGAGGAGGCCACAAAGCTGGTAACAGGACTGGAACGCCTTCCCTGTGAGGACAGGATAAGAAAGTTGGGGCTGTTCAGTCTGGAGAAGACAAGGTTGTATGGTGACCTCATAGCACCTTCCTGGATGTGAAGGGGCTGCAGAGAAACTGGAAAGGGATACTTTGTTAGGAATGGTAGTGATAGGACAAGGAGCAATGGGTATAAACTGGAAGAGGGGAAGTTTAGATTAGATATCAGGAAGAAATTCTTTCCCATAAGGGTGGTGAGACACTGGCAAAAGTTGTCTAGGGAGGAAATGGATGCTCCAACCGTGGCAGTGTTCAAAGCCAGGTTGGATAAAGCCTTGGTCTGGTGGAGGTGCCCCTGCCCATGGCAGAGGGGGTTGGGGCTAGGTGATCATCAAGGTCCATTCAAATCCCTTAACATTCTCTGATTCTCTGATCATTTCCCCCCCCCCAATATTCCACAGCAATTCAAAGAGAATTCATTCATTCAAAGGATTTCTGTGGCTTTTTTCATAGAATCACCAAAACACTTAGGCTCTTGGTCTGGTGGAGGTGCCCCTGCCCATGGCAGAGGGGGTTGGGGCTAGGTGATCATCAAGGTCCATTCAAATCCCTTAACATTCTCTGATTCTCTGATCATTTCCCCCCCCCCAATATTCCACAGCAATTCAAAGAGAATTCATTCATTCAAAGGATTTCTGTGGCTTTTTTCATAGAATCACCAAAACACTTAGGCTCTAAAAGCTCGATCATCGAGCAAAGAGAATTCATTCATTCAAAGGATTTCTGTGGCTTTTTTCATAGAATCACCAAAACACTTAGGCTCTAAAAGCTCTCTAAGATCATCGAGTCCAATTGCTAACCCAGCACTGCTAAGACTCTACAAGATCACACTGGTCCTTTAACTGATTATAATCCAGCCCCAGAAAACCTGTCAGGTTCTACCAGCAAGGGGCCAAACCAAACCAGAACCCAAATCTCACCCAGCTGCAGAGGGCACATGGCTGGCTTGGGACACTGGGAGAGGTGCTGGAGCAGAAACACAGAATCATTAAGGTTGGAAAACACCCTCAAGATCATCAACATGTCAAAGCCAGTGGTGGGAACCTCAGCTTGATCAGTTTTTAAAAAAGCTGTAATTTCAGCATGTAAGAGATGTCGTGTTTGATGATTTTCCTAATTTATTATAGCCTGTGAGGGTTTTTTCCCTGTTATTTGCTTTAAACTTCTTGTCCAACCATTGGGTGACCAGAGGATGTCATTACATCCTCTGTCACAAACCATAATGCCTTATTTTCTCTCCACAGGGACCTTGATTTTACAGCTCTGTCTTAATCCTGCTCATTCACATCTCCAGCCAGTTTCACAGGCTTAGTCTACCCAATCCACAACCCAGGTCAGCCTTCTCACCCTTTTCTGCATCTCTTCTAGCTCTTTTTTATCACTGCACTGACTGGGGTGACTGGAATTGCTCTCTGTTCAAGAGCTCCATGGACTTATTCAGTGCTGTTCTTACATTTTTCTGTTTTATTCTCCCTCTCTTTCCCAGCAATTCTTAGAATTCCACTTGCCTTTCTGACCTCTGCTGAGCACTCAGCAGATGTTTTCAAAGAACCATCTGCAATGACGCCATGACCTCTTTCAGGGGCTAATTTAAACCCTATCATTGTGTCTGTACTTGACTTCTATTGACATGGAATTTCAGCAGCTATTTCATTGCCCAGACAGTTGATATTGTCAGATTCTTCTCCAACTTTTTTGTAGCCATGTCTACTTTTACTTACCTGGAATAACTCTATACC